TTCTGGGGTTTGTAGTTTAGTGAGGGCCAGGACCTGTCTAGCTGAGCAGTTTAAAGACCCATCCCTAAACTACAAGGCCCAGAATTCTGCAGAAGGTAGAAACTGGATTTAAAGTGGATCCATTCTCTAGTGTGATGAAGTCCAAGTTCCAAGCAGAGGAGGAGGAGAAGGTACAATTCAGCTTTCAGCAACAGAGCCCAGTCGGAAAGCAAAGCGCCCAGATCAGCCTTCCAGCTGGAGGGTAGGGAAGGGGAGGAAGGCAAATGAGTCCCCCCGACCCTTACCTGTTCTCAGACCAGGTTCTCCGGCTCCTGGAAGCGAAGAAGGAAGAAGAGGAAGCGAAAGTAAAAACATTTTGCTCCGAGGGGACCAAATGCTCAGCGACTTCCTCATTCTGGTGCTGGCTGGGCGAGGAGGGAGCCCATTGGCCGGTAGAGAAGGCTGGGAAGGTGACACTGGAGAGAGAGGAGGAGGAGGAGGAGGAGCAGGTCAAGCTAGTAGACCACTGGTTCTCAACCTTCCTAATGCTGCCACCCCTTAATACAGTTCCTCATGTTGTGGTGACCCCCAACCATAACATTATTTTCATTGCTACTTTACAACTATCATTTTGTTACTGTTATGAATCGTCATGTAAATATCTGGTATGCAGGATGTATTTTCATTCACTGGACCAAATTTGGCACAAATACCTGGTGGGGTTGGGGGAGGGGGTTGATTTTGTCATTTGGGAGTTGTAGTTGCTGGGATTTATAGTTCACCTACAATCAAGAGCATTCTGAACTCCACCAACGATAGAATTGAACCAAACTTGGCACACAGAACTCCCACGACCAACAGAAAATACTGGAATGGTTTGGTGGACATTGACCTTGATTTTGGGAGTTGTAGTTCACCTCCATCCAGAGAGCACTGTGGACTCAAACAAGGATGGACCTGGACCAAACTTGGCACCAATACTCAATATGCCCAAATGTGAACACTGGTGGAGTTTGGGAAAAATAGACTTGACATTTGGGAGTTGTAGTTGCTGGGATTTATAGTTCACCTACAATCAAAGAGGATCTGAACTCCACCAATGATGGAATTGAACCAAACTTGGCACACAGAACTCCCATAACTAACAGAAAATACTGGAAGGGTTTGGTGGGCATTGACCTTGAGTTTTGGAGTTGTAGTTCACCTACATCCAGAGAGCACTGTGAACTCAAACAATGATGGATCTGGACCAAACTTGGCACAAATACTCAATATGCCCAAATGTGAACACTGGGGGAGTTTGGGGAAAATAGACCTTGACATTTGGGAGTTGTAGTTGCTGGGATTTATAGTTCACCTACAATCAAAGAGCATTCTGAAACCCACCAACAATAGAATTGGGCCAAATTTCCCACACAGGAGCCCCTGGTGGCGCAGTGGGTTAAAGCACTGAGCTGCTCAACTTGCTGATCTAAAGATCACAGTTTTGAATCTGGGGAGTGGTGTGAGCTCCCACTATCAGCCCCAACTTCTGCCCACCTATCAGTTTGAAAACATGCAAATGTGAGTAGATCAATATTTACCGCTCCAGCGGGAAGATAACAGCGTTCTGTGCAGTCATGCCAGCCAAATGACCTTGGAGGTGGACAACACCAGCTCTTCAGTTTAGAAATGGAGATGAGCACCAATCCACAGAGTCGAACACGATTAGACTTAATGTCAGGGGAAAACCTTTACCTTTTTACCTTCCCACACAGAACTCCCATGGCCAACAGAAAATACTGTGTTTTTTGATGGTCTTTGGCAACCCCTTTGACATCCCCTCGCAACCCCCCCAGGGGGCCCGACCCCCAGGTTGAGAAACACTGTAGTAGACTAAAGGTGCCTGAACACTTACTGCTATGGAATCATCAGAATTGTAGCTGGGTGAGCGCTGGCATTCTTTGTTAGAGAATGCTAAAGACCTTGCAAAATTGCAATTCATAAGAGTCCATAGCACTGATCCTTAGCAGTTCAAGTGGTGCCAAGCTGCATTCATTCTACAGCAGGCATGGGCAAACTGCAGCCCTTCAGGTGTTTTGGGCTTCAACTGTCACAATTCCTCCAACAAACAAGAGTTCTTTCTCCCACCCTGGACATTCCACAGATATATAAACCTCACTTGCCTAGTTTCCAACAGACCTCCCAACCTCTGAGGATGCCAGCCATAAATGAGGGTGGAAAATCAGGAGAGAATGCTTCTGGAACATGGCCATGCAACCAGAAAATTCACCACAACCCAAAACAAATGTTTCTAGCTTTCAACAAAAGATATTTGTTTTCTCTCCTTTGAAGCAAAGGTAGCTGAGCTAAATATGTCATTGTGATTGTTACTTCTTAGGCTTTTTAAATAAAAAAAATCAATTTCATATTATTTACATTAACAATCGTGTTAAAATGATTCATTTTAATGGTCTAAAACATTTTTCTTCAGATTATAACAATCTACAAAACATTTCTCTTATTTAAGTTTAGTCTAGACTGGTACGTTTTTGTTGCTGTGCTCTTGTTTTCAGCAAATTACAGCAATTAGTAATTAAATGACTAATTTTTTCTGTGGTTTAATTGCCACCTAAAATCTGCTGCCTGAGTCAACTTCCTCAGTTTGTCTGATGGCTGGGCAAACCCTGAACAAGGCTGTGAAAGGTTTTTTTTTTTCCCATGTCAGGAGCGACTTGAGAAACTGCAAGTTGCTTCTGGTGTGAGACAATTGGCCGTCTGCAAGGACATTGCCCAGGGAACACCCGGATGTTTTGATATCTTACCATCCTTGTGGGAGGCTTCTCTCATGTCCCTGCATGGGGAGCTGGAGCTGACAGAGGGAGCTCATCTGCACTCTCCCCAGATTCGAACTTCCAACCAATCAGCCTTCAGTTCTGCCAGCTATACACTGTGAATCATATCTACTAATAACTGTATAGGTTTTATTTTAGGGATAGCAAAATTGTACCTTGAAGAATTATTTTGAGACTATTGAAATATCTGAATCCCCCTGAGTCTCCTCAAAAGGGTGTTGGAGATCTGGGTTTGATATTCTACTAGGCCATGTAAACTCACCAGAGTGAGTCACACCCTCTCAGCCACAGAAAACGCTGCCTTGGGTTCACTGTAAGCCAGAAACAATAACATTAGTGAGAAAAGGTGGGATAAAAATGAAAAGAAATGCATTCTAAATTTTAAATAATAGATCATATTATCAGATATACAGTCCCTGAGCTACAAGCATCCAACTTACAAACAACTCATAATTAAGAATAGGAGTGATACAACATGAAATGAAAGAAATCTATCCCAGGATGGGAAGTTCACTCCTGAAAGAGTTATGGGAGAAAGGTATCTCCACTGAAGCTTTATCACCAATCCTTGTTTCCACAACAAGTCAATTTTTTCAAGATCCAATTATCACAGGGACAGAAAGTAAGGTAACATCTTGTAAACTTTGCTGCACAGGTACCAAAACAAACATCCCCCACAAAAAAAACCTCTCTTTGTGTGTGGAGTTGCACTTTAAAAATGTACCTGTTTATTCAGTTTAGTTACAGTATTTACATTCCACCTTTTTCACCCCGAAGGGGACTCAGGGCAGATCACAGAACACATATACAGCAACCATGCAATGCCGTTATACACTGATAAGACAGACAACTGTCTAGATACGATCGCACCCGAACGCCCCATCTCGTTGCGTCGTGACAAGCCATCTCCTTGGTTCACCGAGGAGCTGGCTGTGATGAAGCATACGAGAAGGGGGCTAGAGCGCAAATGGAGGAAATCTCGGGATGTATCTGATCGAACACGGGCTAGAGCCTCTCTTAAGGCATACTCCGTGGCCATACGGGCGGCCAGGAAGTCATTCACGACCGCTCGTATAGCATCTGCAGCAAATAGATCATCGGAGCTGTTTCGGGTCGTGGGGGAACTCCTCCACCCACCTGTGGTGGAGGAGGTCCTTGACGACCCCGCAGCTCGGTGTTGCGACTTCGCGCACCATTTTGCAGATAAAGTCGCCCAGATACGTCTCGAGCTCGACTCCAATTCCATCGCAGTGCCTGAAGAGGTGACGGAGGTACCTGCTTGTCCAATTTTGTGGGATTCTTTTAGGCCTGTTCTTCCTGAAACCGTAGAGGAGATTCTTGGAGCTGTGAGAGCGACCACCTCATCTCTAGACCCATGCCCATCTTGGCTCATTAAATCAGCCAGAGGGGGGTTGCTTGACTGGTTTGTACCGATTGTTAATGCATCATTGGAGCAAGGAATTTTTCCATAAAATGTATGCTCACAGCCTGTGAGTGCACCCCCAGTTATATCACACAATAAAAAGCCTGCACAATCTGACTCCACATGGTGCCTGAAAACTACGGCCCCGCACCCTCTCACACACACCTCCCGTATTTTGGGTAAGGTGATAGGACGAGCGGTGGTGGCACTCACGATTCTCAGCCCAGGATTTACTATGAGATCGGAGTAAACTATTAAACAATCCACAGTTCGGTTTCAGGGTACTCCGACCATAGGCCACACGAGCCAGTAACACACACAGCTCGGCCTTGGTGGTCACACACCTCCGCAGAGCACTGGAGGGGGCAGTGTGAACCCTAGAATGGTTTAAACTCTTGGACATGCTCTCAGCGGCTTCACCGCACATTACCCCCCTCTTGGACATCTCGGCTTTCGATACCATCGATCATGGTATCCTTCTGGGTCGTCTCTCTGGGATGGGCCTCGGGGGCGCGTTTTGTCGTGGCTCCGGTCCTTCCTGGAGGGACGAACTCAGATGGTGAAGCTGGGAGACGCCTGCTCTGACCCCTGGCCTTTGACCTGTGGGGTCCCGCAAGGCTCTATTTTGTCTCCCATGCTTTTTAACATCTACATGAAACCGCTGGGAGAGGTCATCCGGAGTTTTGGAGTTGGGTGCCATCTCTACGCGGATGACGCACAACTCTACTACTCCTTTCCACCTAATTCCAAGGAGGCTTCTCGGGTGCTAGACGAGTGCCTAGCCGCTGTGTCGATCTGGATGAGGAGGAACAAGCTGAAGATCAATCCCGACAAGACAGAGGTCCTCCTGGTCGATCGCAAACCGGATCGGGGTATAGGGTGGTTACCTGTGTTGGACGGGGTTACACTCCCCCTAAAGTCACAGGTCCGCAGTTTGGGTGTCCTCTTGGATTCCTCGCTTACACTTGAGGCTCAGGTGTCGGCGGTTTCCGGGAGGGCCTTTGCGCAACTAAGACTTGTGCGCCAGCTGCGACCGTACCTCGTGAAGGCTGATCTGGCCGGGGTGGTCCACGCCTTGGTCACCTCTAGAATGGATTACTGCAATGCGCTCTACGTGGGGCTGCCCTTGAAGACGGCTC